GGAAGGAGTCTGTTCCGTACTACGGTTGCCTTCTGCCGAAGCTGAGACTCTGGCACAGGATCGAGATCGTTGGAAACCGTGTCTAATGCGTCAGCCTTCGCGACCCGAAAGGAGAAGCGGCAGTGGAAGATGAAGCAGAAGATATATTTTAAATTAAGTGAAATTGGCGTACATTAAAACGAATTTATTTCGTCGTTTTGCGCTGTCCGGCATTTAATGAGTTTAGATCGATGCTGATATATAACTATTCACTCATGTTGTCAACTTTGAGCATCATCGATATAATTCAAAACTGAAACCAAATATGCAAAATTATAAAGGCTGTAAGTGATAAACTGAACAGGAAAAGCGTAAAATAAGACATAAGGTAAAGAGGAGATGATTTACCTCTTCTGCACTAGCGTCTTTGTAGCCAAGACATTTCCAGACAACGTGCTCATGGCATCGTTTGTGCACGACGACGGTGCAAACTAAACGGAGTAGGATAAACAGTAGCATTAAACACAACTAAACATAGATAGAAAGTAGAAAGCAGTTCATTCAAACCTTGGCACTGGTAACCCTGTTTGCCTAATCCCCAAATGAACTCGCGGCAGTGGGCACAAAACGTCGGTTGTCGCAGAATGGTCGCCATAAACTTGTGGTCGTTGACCTGGTGCACACGACGGCGCATTGCACCTCGTCGCTGACGACCGATAAAGGCACCAGGCTTTTCGTGAAATACGCCTTCTGTCGAGGAACCATCTGAAAGAAAAAAATTAGGGCCTTTAAGGATAAATATAATAAGAATTAAAACGTTTGCTCTAGGAGCTTAAGAACAATAATATTCAAACAGAAGACCGAGGGAAGAAATGCAAAGAAATAATCGAAAACTGACTGTTTCACAGAAATAGAGTGATCTCTATGTTGGCTGTAAAAAACAATAACAATGCAACAATAAAGAGACTGATTGAAAACAGAGGCACGATCCACATCAGCGAGGCACGAGAACCGGCAGGGTTTAGGCAAACATTTAACAGAAACCAACACTCACAAACGTTCGTTGAAAGAAGCATAACGACGTATGTCTACAAGGAACACAAAACTAGAACCTTGCACAAGCAAGATATTTCGACTTTGACAATAAGAATCTTTACTGCTTGAACGGAATCATGTTATGTGTTTTCTGTAAGTGGAAGTTGCTACGTGGGAGCGTAAATAAAAATTTGAGCCTGTCAGAAATAACGCATTTATTCACGAATACAGAACTACTGAAAAGAGGTGACGGCTATATAGGAAACAAGTTCAGTGATACAAGTATTCGGTTCCATCGAAATATAGAACAATCATACATTGAGGCTGCTTCCGTTAACAAATCATGGGTGAGCAGAACGAAATTCTAGGATATTGGTCTTTTTACGTTTGTTATTTGTAGCACCATTCATTCAGAGCGCTGCTTTCCTGTTCGAATGAAAAAGAAGTTTAGGAAACTACACTCAGTCTAGAACTTCTGCTTGGGGGCCGTTGGACTTAGCATTACAGAAAAACTAAGGCCCCTTGAATATCGGCCCTGCCAGAGAGATGCGAGCTGTTGTACGTTCTTTACCGTTTCGGTGCCAGTACTGAGGTGGCTCGTTGTCCCTTTTCGAAATGGTCTCGCCAGTGCAGGATGGCTTTTCCGACTGAACAACAGACCTGCCATATTAAGTAGTAAAAATATTGTTTAATTCTTAAGAGAGACTTCGTTTAACATCTGACCCAAGTGGTTTTCCTATTTTTGAGGAGCTGAGCCTTCTCTTTATTTTTTCAAACACATCAACGATGTAGGAAATGCAAATGAACAGTGAGGGTGGCAAAAATGTTAAGATCCAGCGCTCATACCCTTTTTAATGAAGAATGACATGTGGGCGTCACATCGTATGCAGAAGCAGTGTTCGGTCTGACTTCGATTTTGAAATCGACACAAATGCACGACATGATGAAATAAGCGTAGAATTAGAGGCGCCAACAGATCGACCGTATTCCTTGTACATGCTATGAAATTTTCGCAGATGAAACCATCGAAGAAAGAAGCAAAGAAATCGCTACAATTAAAAAGGTAGAAACGTCTCTTTAAGCAAAAAGACACTATAACTGGACACATCTGTAATCCATCTCATAAATATACAAGCACAGTTTCAGTATAAGGAATGTGAATACGTTTATGCAAAATACCTATTTCTCTTAATAATCGAAGTACGAAGATAGCTGGTCGATAATCGAAGCATTCTTCTAAAGGATGACTGTCAATCTCGCAAGCTGTGGTAGAGTAGGACCAAGGTGGTAAGTATAGTTTCCCTTTAACGGAAAATAAACGGGCACTGTTTCCTCGTAAACTGACGAGCGCCACTTTCGGCTCTCAAGTTCAATTTCAACTTGGACCTGCTGTTCAACATGTAAGCCATTTACACAACGGCACTGATGCTGATGTGTGTGCGATCATCCCCAGGAGCCGCTTGCATCAGCAGAACGTCTGTGGTTTGTGATATCAGTTGTGCTGGCGGTTTTAACAACATTCTTGCAATAAAGCACAGGTTACTGCATTGTAAAAGGAAATATTTCTCTCCAAAAGCAGATCTGTTTCTAAGTTGTTCCTCCGTGTAGCTGCTGGACTCCCGGCCAACGTCTGCCTTGTTTTGGTTGCCACAGAGAAGCTCGCGGTGAGAGTAAATGGCTTCTTTCAATCAGTTTGTGTAGCATGTCCAAACTCATTTTCTTGATCTTTAACTCTTTTCAGATCATCTGTGCCTGGAATACAACATAGTCATTCATTATATGGTCCTGCCATTCAACCCTGATTATCCGTCGAAGCCAATGCTCGTACATGCAGCTCAAACCACCGTTCTTGCTCCTTCTTTAGAACAGCAGTCTTCAACCCGTACAAAAACACTGATCTGGCAATGACGAGGTCCAGGCGGATTTTTGTGGAAAGATCTACCACTTTCTTAGCCAAAATATTCAACAAAATTTACCGAAGGCACCGGATGCGAGAGCGATCCTCTTATTTAATTCCAATTGGATGGCACCATTGGGGGAGTTCTACACAACGCCACCGACGCACGTGTTCGGGTAAATTCGGTTCTGTCACAACAAACTCCCCATCACAAAGAGAAAGAGAAGAGTGAATGCTTGCCTTTACGCTGTTCCGTCGATTTACTGATTACATCCTGTAGTACGTTAGAGCGCTAACATATCAGTGTTAGTATTTCCAATTAAATGGATCAGGACCACGCACGCAATACCTTTTGTTCTCTTCTCTCCAGTTTTCTTTCCTCAACTTCTTCAACTTTCAGCGATGCCTTTAACACTCAGGGGTCTGAAGACCTCTTTGAGGGAAACAAAAATATAAATTTAGAAAGGAGCATACGGGCTACCTATGACCAAATGATCAAGTGGATGGCAAGATAATTGTGAAAACGTAGACGAAACACGTTGATTTGACCAAATTGCATAACTGAATAGCTCCGTCGTTTCGCTCTCTCGAACACGGCAATGAAAGTATGTAGCACGCCTGGTTATCAGGCACAAAAATATGGTTCCATAAGTCTGATATTCGGCAGGTCTTGTTGAATGCTGCCGAAGGCAGAGGCCAAGAACATTTACGCCTATCATACAAGACCTGAAAGTGAATCTTCATCATCGGATAGGATACTGATTTCATTTTAAGCGCAATCATTGCCGAACTTAGAGACTACCTCATACCAGCCACATAATCAGCCATCTCAAAAATGCCCTGTTTCGACGATGAACACAGGTTCTTGCGTACTGTGCAATTTTCTGGTAGACAAATCAATTGATACAAAGTGAAGAGATTGCTAGCTTAAGCGTGCCTATCGATTTATGGAACGGTACAACTGTGCTATCGCTAGAGACCAGTTTTATGTATATATGTATGTATGTATATATGTATGTATGTATGTATGTATGTATGTATGTATGTATGTATGTA